AAAAAGAATAACTAGCTTCTGTAGTTCTCTATTTTTTATAAACTGGGAAATATACAAGATTTTAAGGTCTGTTTCAGCTTTGAGCTTTTTCTGCAGTAAGGGTTTATTTTTTTGTTTTGAGAATTAACGTTACTATCATGGGTTTCAACCTGTAAAATGTGTTCACGCTGCCCAAATTTCACTGATAAATGATGAGGTGGTAGGACCTTGGTACAAAAGGAAAATCATCATCTTCTCATAAATCTTTCGGAAATGTGTATTTGGGTTAGATTAGTCAAGGAATTTTGTCAGATAAATTTACCTCCCAAGTGTGGCTATGTGGTAATATGAGTCCTAGGGATTACAAGGACCTAGAGAGAATGAGCTTTAAGAATCACCAAGGAGATTAATACGATCAAAGTACATGATTATACTTGTGTGAAGATGCCACAAAGAAATCCATTGTATAACTGATATATACTAATATATAAAAAAGAATTAGTGAAGTCCCAAAACTTTAAGATCAACAAACATCATGGCTGGAAGCAAAGCAATTTAAAATTCCAATAATCTACATGAAATTGGTAGTGACTTCTGTGGAACTGACACTACTACGATCTAGATAAAGAGACTTAAAATGGCTGTATGGCAACCTACATGTCCCTTATGCTGCCATGCTTTATAGCTAATCCAGAGAGTGTTAGGAACTCAGAATCTGCAGTCTACTGATGTTTTTACTCTGGAGTCTGAATGTAATCTGACTTTAATTTAGAACATAAGTAATAAAATAGAAGAATGATCAGCTTAGTCTTCTTATACCTGGTTACAAGAAAAACAACACTTCCAGTGAACCAAGGTCAGCGCTTTGAATAATGGGAGAAATATTTTGGAGAGAACAGTTTAACTGCATTATTCTAGTACCTCGGGTCTTTTTCTGTGTAAAAACGTTCATTCCGTTTGTTATCACCAAACGTGGCTCGATACACATCATGACAGCGAAGGTTCCTTTGGAAGGTGTAGAATAAAACATCTTCATCTTCTTCATCCTTCACCCATTCTGAAAGTAATTAAAGGAATTACACATGGCTACCTACATATAGTTAGAAAAAGGGCACAGAATGCTTAAACTCTGAATGCCAAAGTGAAGAAATGTGTAAGTCTATTCCTGGAAATCTAAATATAAAATAGCTTGATTGAATCAAACCTGTATTTCTATATAAGCCAGAGAATATTCCAGAAAAGAAAATAATACTCTATCAGTTCCAAGTTTTCTATACTTAGTCTTCTCAAGTTTCTAAAGAACTATTATTCAACATTAAGGAAAGACATTGGTGAAGCCACATTTGAGGAGATGAACTGCTTAATTCTGAAGAAACACTGGTCACTTTTTCACATGCCTCTCTGCTCTTGTCTTTTTTGACAGGGTCTCACTATGTAGTCCTGACTGGCTTGGTACTCATTATGTAGACCAGGCTCAGCTCCATCTCACAGTGATCCACTTGCCTCTGCCTCTCAAATGCTGGGATTAAAGGTGTGCACCACCACACTCAGCCCATGCCTCTGTTCTTTTTTTCTTTTGAGGCAGGGTCTTTCCTGTAGCCCCAGCTGGATGCCTCTGTTCTTAATTCTACTTTTAAGGAATAAGATATCGCTATCAAAGCATTTTAACACTGGTTCTTCAATTCACCAGAACCTGTCAATGGAAATTTGCACACAATTACATCATGACTGCCATCTGGCTGACAGTGACTGTAAGTCACTACTATTGAATATGTATCCTGATGTTTTAGAGGTTCAAACGTACAAATATAGTTCTTAGACTTCATTAGGTAGGGGCTGGGGAGATGGCTCAGTGGGTAAGAAGGCTTTCTTTGCAAGCATGAGGACCTGAGTCTGAATCCCTAATACCCACGTACAAAGCTGGGGATGGCTCAGCATGCCTGTAACTCCAGCACTCAGGCAGAGCCAGATGGATTATAAGGGATTCCTGACTGGCCAGCAAAATGAGCCAAAATGGGGCGCTTTCAGCTTAGTGAGAAACCCTGACTTAAGGCAGTAAGGTGAAAAATGATAGAGGGAGATACCCAATGTCCTATTCCAGCATTCACATGTGCATGAATGGACACACTCACATATGTTATACACACACACATAAAAACACACACAAGAATATAGTAGGTAGAGTATAATTTTAATTTAAAAGCATCTAATTAGGGGTTGGAGAGATGGCTCAGCAGTTAAAGAGTACTGACTGCTCTTGCAGAGGACCTAGGTTTGATTCGCAGCACCCACATGGTGGCTACAAACCATCCTTAACTCCAGTTCCAGGGGAATCCAAAGCTCTCTTCTGACCTCTGCGGCATTGCATGACATGGGTATACTCACATACATTCAGGCAATACACTCATACACATAAAATGAAAAAAAAAATGGTGGCAAGGTAAAAGGGAGACAAAGTATGAACATATGTAACAATGATAAATGCTAAAATATAAAGCTAGCTCTATTACTTGAGATGTCAGTTTCCAGTGATGTCAGCTCAATATGCTCCAAAGTTTCTTAGGAATGACTCTCAGAAATCTGCTATAATAAATTTATATGCTTTATTAGTTATTTTCTGTTGCTGTGATAAAACATGACCACAGCAACTTACAGAAGGAAGAGTTTATTTAGCTTATGGTTCCAAAGGGGCAAGAGTCCATCATGGTGGGAAGGCATGGCAGCAGAGGTGGCTGGAGTAGGAGCAGAAGCTAAGGCTCACATCTTCAAGTAGGCACAGGAAGCAGAGAGTAAGTGGAAATTGGCAAAGCTTAGGAACTGTCTAAGCCTGCCTCCAGTGACGTGCTTCCTCCAGCAAGGTCACACCTTCTAAGACCTCCCAAAACAGCACCAACTGGGGACAAAATGTCAAACACTTGGAGCCTATGGGGGACATTCTCATTTATACCACCACACATGGTAACATGTAATAAAAAACATCTTAAGTTTAAAGTTGAATAAGCTATCAAGAAGCAATCTATATGTAAAATTTTAGTCTACACAATAAGCTGGCAAAGAGTTACTATATAACAGAATATACATCTAGGACTTTGACTATAAATGTCTTAAAAACCTGAGTACTATTCTGTTCATTTTAAAATTTCTTATTAGCATGTGTATGATGTGGGTGTGAGTGTGGGTGTATATGTCCCATGGTGCATGTATGACGGTGAGAGAACAACTTTCAGGAGTTGGTTCTCTCTTTCCACTGTGAGTGGTGGAGACTGAACTCAGGTCATCTGGCTTGTGTGGCAAGTGCTTTTACTCACTATGCCCTCTTGTCAGCCCATGAGCACTATTTCAAAGTGCTCCATTTAGATATACAACTAAAGGAGGGAAAGTTTCATGAATAGGAAGATGTGGAGTCCACAGGGTGAAATGGATCAAGTACCCACCACCACCTTCTTCACTCACATGGGCTAAAAAAGTTTCAGGAGTCTGAGCAGTTCTCTTACTGCTGCCTTGTCAAAAGAGACTATTTAATGGCTTACCAAAACTGGACACGTTTGGGAAAGAAGCTTCCATTACAGGTTGATCACTGAGCTTTACAACTATGCAGGTAGATGCTTCAGAGTCCTCAGTCCTTATCTTGGCAGCCACGTACTTCTCATCTGGAGCAACTCTGATGCAGTCAATGAAGGGCTGCTCTAGTTTAAGCTCCTCCAAGTTGTACAGAACTTCATAATTCTCATTGTCTGCTGCATAAAGTAGGGAAATGGTAATTCTACAACATATACACCAGAATAATTTTCCAACTGTATGTTCATGTTGTAAATGAACATTCCCCTTCTACCAGAGGCCATACTCTGCTATTAGTTGATTTAGACATAAACTGGCACCAGCTTTTTAAAATTACTTTATGCTATTCAATATTATTCTCTGTATTAACACATCAGGTATTGTTTGATAGTGTTATAACCTAGTCTAGCATTTACAGACCATATAGAATTTACAAAGAAGCCAGGTATAGTGGCACATACCTTTAGCCTCAACACTCGGGAGGCAGAGGCAGGCAGATCTCTTTGAGTTCAAGGCCAGCCTGGTCTACACAGTAAGAACTTGTCTCAAAAGATTAAACAAAAAAAGAATTTACACAGAGAATACAAATGCCATTTAACTATGTATGTGAAGTGTCTAGCACAGTACTGAGATGTAGAACATGCTCAAAAAAATGCTAGACTCTAGCTCCACTCTCCCTGTCAAAGCTTTGCAGTATATTAAACCAAGATCTGAAGTAAACCTAGATATTAAAAACCAGTCATTAAAAAATTTGGAAGTGATCTTTAAAAACTCTTTTCTATAGTTCTGAGCAATTAATATCAAGCTTCCTATTTAAAAATGTGAAATCTGAAAAACAAGAGCATCTTAAAAAGAAAAAATGTAGCTTACCTTCTTCATCTTTGGAACGAACCAAGCAGCAACCCTCTTGATAGTAAACGAAACCACCATGCTTAATCTGACAATGAAAAGAAACCTATGAGTGATTACTTAATAATAATTCACTTACCTATTTAAGATGCCATAAACAGCAGATCTGTGGAAGTACATGCATGAATACATGAAATGTAAAATGGGCTATTTTTACAATACTGGTAGCAAGATACAGTTTTCCTACATTCAGAATCATTGGAGGGGATTCTGGTACATAAATGGAAGAGGCAATGCAGGAGGCATAACAAGATCTATGATTGCTCTCACGACTGCATCCACTAGTTCAGTTATATTTTGGGAACATCTGATGTCTGTATAGTGAGAGTCAATTAACAGATATCAAGTGATATTTTTAAGATAATCCAAAATGATACAGATTAGAAAACTGTGGCTCAGAGTAGCCTGAAATGACGATTAATTTTCTGATAATCTTTCTTTTTTATATATATTTTTTATTTATTATTTTAATTTTACGTGCATGAGTGTACTGCCTGCATGTATGTTAAGTGCACCAGGGTTGTATAATGCCTGCAGAGGTCAGAAGAGGGCGTTGGACTCTTCTTGAACTAGAATTACAGATGGATGTTAGCCACCATGTAGGTGCTGGAAATTGAACAAGTAGGTGCTGGAAATTGAACCTGGGTCCTCTCCGAGAGCAGCCAGTGCTCTTACTGAGCCATCTCTCCAGCCCTGATAATATTTCTTTTAAAATCACCGTCATTACAACTGCACACAGTCTTGATCTGATTTTATACAAAGTACATTATCATTTGTGGGATGAAAAATAGTTTAAGATCAAGAATATTTTCCTACGTATGTGATTTTCATTTATAATCTGTGATCTGTTTTCCAATCTTACTAAAAAATTTCAAACTCTATGTTCAATGTATTTCAATTAAATATTTATAACTGATAACTATAATGTCTATAGAGTATCTCATTTGTATCTTAACTGATAGTATATATTTTTCTTACATAAAGACACGATACAGCTTACCTCAGCGTTGATGATTTCATATTCTTCTTGTGGTTGAGTTTCTAATTTTGTTCTCACTTTTTCAAATGCATCCATGTTTTCTGAAAGGGACTTTTCGTTTTCTGGCTTAACAGGCAGAAGAGTCTAGAAAAAGTGTTGGTAGTATGATCAAAATATTTCAAACTGAGGAAAAAATACTTGCATTTTAGACAATTCTTATGTGTTCATGTAAGTTGAACAATGTTAGGTCTTTCTTTATGAAAACAACATGTGTTTCATGATCTCAAATGTTCTTTCTTAAACTCATCAAAAGAAAATAAGTACTCGATGCATCATATTAAATGTACAAGTCCTTAAGATATAGAAGTACTAAGAAACTCTGTAGAATGTTCCAAAATACTATGGGAAATAATTATACACAATTAAGGAGAAAAAAATTCTTTGAACTTACACATATTTAATAGGAATGAGAAGTAAACTAAAAAGACTACTGAATTTTATAAGTACTGAAATACATCCTAAGAGGAGAGAAATACCAAACAGAAGACATTTCTTAACTACTAGATACTATTAATTTATTCACGGAACAGTTGTGATATTTATCTTACTTTACTAATCATAATTTTTTTTTCTGTTGTAGGGATAAGTAATCCCCCTAATATAATGTTCATTAGATACAAAAGTAAAATACCACCTCATAAGACAAAGCTTCCTTTTCAGTTTAAGGAAAAACATACTTAATGAAAAGAAGGAAAAACAAGGGAAATGAATGACGTTAGTAGAGACAAAGTGCAGTGAGTGCTGACTGTGCTTCACTGAGAGTACTAAATGAAGAGCTCTGGTTGACCCCTCTGGTGAGCAAGTAAGTATCAGATGTATCTGGATAAGGCAAAACTTACAGCTGTCAAAGAGCATTCAAAAACGCAACATTCTGCTGCTCTGCCTTGTTTAAGCAAAAGAGTTCTATCCAGGATTTTTCTTTTTGAAAAGGTCTCTCTAGTCCTAACCATTCGGAAGTCACTATGGCAAGCCCTGATCTCTGCCTCCCTCTGCCTCCCTTGGGCTGGCCTAAAGGCATGAGCCATACCATGCCCAACTCTAGCCAGGTTTTTCAATTCTTCGGCTCTCTGCCAAAGATGACAACTGCACAGAGATTTGTGTCAGAGGGGGCACTAAGCCTTACCAAAGTAAAGACTTCTAGCAGTTGATAAATGTTTGCTGCATAAAATGTTCATGTCAGTTTACCAACATTGTGGAGAATGTAAGGTACAAACGTAGCTTATATAGAGTTTATAGCAAAAATTAAACACAATAAGAGTAGTCATCAAAACAGACTAAATGGAAAAAAATCACTTTCTCAGAGTTATTCTTTAAAATATTTTTGAGATGGTCTAATGATTTGGATTTGAATTAGTGATAATGATTGTTATGATAGCCTCAATCTTCCATCTTCTGTTTTCTTAAAAAATTTAATTACATTTATTTATTTGTGTGTGTGGTTGTAGGGAGTGAAAACCTGCAGGAATCGGTTCTATCTTTCTAGCATGTGGCTCCCTGGCACTGACCTTGGGCTGTCAGGCTTGCTGGCAAGCACTTTTACCTGCTAAGCTATCTTATCGGCCCACTTCGATTTTCAATTACACAGTCAATTCTTTGAGTAATTATTTGTAGGCTAAATACTGGAGGTTTGTCATGCTTGTTTTCATTCATTTTGATATTTAGAGTAAGGTAAAATATACCAATAAGCTAGTATCACCTAAAACATTATTTTCTTTAAAAATTTTTATTGAATTTTTGTGTATTTCATTCAGAGCATTTCAATCAGTCTTAATCATCTTTATATCCCCTTCCCCACTGGCTCCCTCCCATTGCCCCTCTCCCCCGACTGGAATTCATTCATTCTGTCATTTGTGTGTCAAGTTATTGTCCCCAGACCTTCCTCAGTGCAAGTTCATCTGCGGTCTTGTCAGCCTATCTAGAGTCCCTTGCTTTAGGAAGATCAGCTCTTCCTCACTCAACAGAAATCAGATGGCAACATTTCTTCAGCTAAGATTGGGGTCTGCTGTCCATTTCCCCAGTTCTATGCTGGGTTTTTGTCTGCTTGAGTTCACATATTTTAAAAAAAATTATTTTTATTTTATGTGTATGAGTGTATTGCCTGCATGCAGGCCAGTGCACTAGTGTCATGCCATACCTTTGGAAGTCAGAAGAAGGGGTCAGATCCCTTGGAATTGGAGTTAGGGATGATTGTTAGCCATCATGTGGGTGCTGAGAATCAAACCTGGGTCCTTTGCAAGAGCAGCCAGTGCTCTTATAACTGCTGAGCTATCTCTCCAGCCCCCAAAATATTATATTATAAATCAGAAGATTTAGAAATCTGCTTTGTAACTCTATCTTTACAATGTGAGAAACTTTTAAACTGAGCTTATCTGAATCCAAGTAACACTGAGTGTCTTACTAAATTTTTTTTTTTTTGTGTGTGTGTTTTTGAGACAGGGTCTCATGTATGAGACTGGCTAGGCTTAAATTCCCTACACATCGTAAGATAACCTTGAATCTCAGATCCTTCACTTGAGTGCTGGGATTACAGTGAGTGCCACTACCCCTAGTCTGAGGTCCTGGCAATCTAGTCAGGGCTTGGTGTATGCTAGGCATGCACTCTACCAACTGAGTTACATCCCCATTCCCAGACTTACTGGAATCTTAGGAGAGTTACCTGTACACTATCACTCCATCAGAAGCAAAAAAGAAACACTTTTACCACTTTTTGAAGTGTCAACATAAAAATCACTTTAACAGTGGAAGCTATTAAGAATGAAATGTTTAACTTTATTATGGCAAAAATGTTGAACTCTGAAGACAAAAACCAGTGAAGTATAAAAACACTGGACAGTATGAATCAAGATGGACCTTTAACAAATGGCTATTTCCAAGTCAAGGTGGGCCTGGGAAATCTTGTACCAGAAAGGATGTGCTCTGAGATTAATAAAGGCATGTCATAGGACACAAGTGGCAGGCAGTGTGATTCCCACTTGCCACATTTGGGATAATTTGAGAATCAAAAAGAATAACAACTAATTATTTACAATACGCTGAAAAACTTAGACAAGAAACTGAAAAACAAAATCTCTGCATCAAACCCAAATTAAAGAAATAAAAGGAGAAACCTAACTTGGAAGGAAGCTTTTCTTTCTAGAATAACATCAGAAAAGACCAACAGACGGAAAATCACCATCTGAAGGGCTCCAGTGGATCTTATTTGATTTTAGGGCAAAAGTCATCAACAGTAGTTAAACTTACTAGGTGAAAGAAGTGCAGCATTCATATAGTACTGAAGTTATTATTTACAAAATGAATAGTGTTCCTCTCAGTGGAGAGAACTGGCAGTTACCAGTTTATCCAAATGATTACTAACAGTGGGAAAAAGTGACATTGCATCTCTTGATAGAATGCACACGAAACATTTCAGTTAAAGAAAACTCAGAAAATCCAAAGTAGAAGAGAAGAAAATTGATGCTTCAATAAACTGAAGAGAGAAGCAAGAAAATAAAGAAAGTTCTTCCTCCCTCCCCTAAAACCTACTAAAGAAGGCAAATGCTTGGTAAACTGATCAAGGAAAAAAGACAAACATTAGTTATGGAAAACATGGCATAATTATAATAGAGAATTTTGTATGTACATTCAATGTATTTTGATAACACTCACCTTCCACTTCCCTAACCCCTCCTAACTTTGTGTTCCCTTTAAAAAAAAAAAAAAAAAAAGCCAGGCATGGTGGCGCATGCCTTTAATCCCAGCACTTGGGAGGCAAAGGCAGGATCTCTGTGAGTTCACCGCCAGCCTGGTCTACATAGTGAGTTCCAGGACAGGTGGGGCTACAGGGAGACCCTGTCTTAAAAAAGAAAAAAACAAACAAAAAAGAAAACTTGTGCTTCCCATGCACTTGTGGGTGTGGCACCAGCCCCTGGAATTCGGTGAACCTATATCCTTAAAGAAAACCACATCCTTAAAGAAAACTGACCTCGCCTCTCCCAGAAGCCAGTCAGTAGTGTCTCAGTCAGGGCTGGGGGCTCATGAGTGTCTCCCCTCTCCATGCTAGAATGCTGACTGGCTTGATTTTGTGAGGCAACCACAGCTGCTGTGAGTTCCTGAGTAAGCAGCCCTCTCATTTCCAGAAGAGGCTGTTTTACTCCAGTCCTCCACGACCTTTCATGACTTTTGGCTCTTACAATCTTTCTGCCCCTTCTTTGGCAATGGCCTTCAGCCATTTTTTTTTTTTTTTTTTTTAAGACAGGGTCTCCCTTTAGCCCAGCTGGCCTGGAACTTACTATGTGGGTGAGAATAGCCTCCATTTCAGAGATCACCTACCTCTGCCTCCCAGTGCTGGGATTAAAAGTGTGTGCCCAGCCTGTTTCTCTTCTTAATTCATTAACTACTGTCAAGGTCACTGAATGACCCTTACATTGCAGGGTGTAAAAGTTAACTTTCAGTACTGATAATGCTTGGTCTACCAATACAATGACATGGCTGATCACTTCCCCTAAAAACATTTTCTTTCTCTTGACTTTCGGGCCACCTCATTCTGTTTTCCAACCCCTTCTTAAGTCTCTTTAGTTGGTCCCCACTCAATTTCTGATGTCTTAACATTGGTATGCTCTGGCCTCAGTTCCTGGATCACTTCACTTCTTTATAGAGTGCACTATTTCCCTTGGTGATCTCATCCAGTCCTGACCTTCAATGCTATTTATATGCTAAGGGCTCCTACATTTATAGCTATAGCTGGAACTTCTCCAGAGTAAGGTGAATTTGCATATAAACTGACTTTTCAACATTTCTACTTGGATGTCATTATTGCCAGGTGTGGTGGCACAGGCAGATCTCTGTGAGTTCAAGGCCAACCTGGTCTACAAATCGAGTTCCAGGCCAGTTGAGGCTAGAGAGGCCCTGTCTCAAAAAAGACCGAAAAAAAAAAAAAAAAGTCATTATTATTTCCATAAATGACAAATCTGTTCTAACTACTCAGCCTAATTTGCCTTGCCTTTCAGGGCATAACTAGGTGACCTGCTACTCCTCCTGTCAATTCTCATATACAGGTGATCGCTATTCTGGGGGTACCATTGCCATTTCTTTCTTGGATTATGAGA